AGGTGAAGCAGTTCAGCTGTTTAGAGGAGGGACAGAGTAAACAGCATATTGCTTCAGATTTCACAAACCTGCCAAAGAGGACTCCTGACCAGGAGCCACTGTTATCAGAAACAAGTGCCTAAAATCTAAACAAAGTTTTGTAATAGTGCAAATAAGTATACTGAGCTAAAATTATTATTATTATTAAGAAATATTGCTATCCAGTAATTCTGTAAACCCAGCAGCTCAGGAGGCTGAAGCAGGAAGATCATGAGTTCAAAGCCAGCCTCAGCAACTTAGTGAGGCCCTAATAAGTAACTTAGTGAAACTGTCTCTAAATAAAGTATTTTTAAAAGGGCTGGGGATATTGCTCAGTGGTTAAGCACCCCTGGGTTCAATATTCCCAGCAACCCCCTCCAAAAAAGAAAAAGGAAATATAGCTGCAGCCCTGATTATAAAGTCACATGCCCTTTCAAATCTAAATACTGAGCACCCTATTCTATGGTCATCACTGTATGACAAGAATATCATGGTCAGGGAAGATCACATTATGACATGTGTCCAAAAAAGGACCATATTTCAGTCTGCAAAAGAATGCACTTATGTAAAAGATATCAAGATGGGCTGGGGTCATGGTTCAGTGGTAGAGCGCTTGCCTAGCATGTGTAAGGCACTGAGTTCGATTCTCAGCACTACATATAAATAAATAAAATAAAGGCCCATCAACAACTTAAAAAAAAAAAGATACCAAGAAAGTGCCTATAAAAAAGTTTTTTGCAACACGTACTTTTATCTGTTATGCCATTTTCTTTCTTTGTCCCAATATAACACAAATCCTCACAATAAATTTAACTTCTATAAACCTTATCCCAAATAAATGGCAAATGTTATAATGAATACCCTCCTATAGAAGAATATAATAGCATATGTATCAAAGGACAGTCTTATTTCCAGCACACTCAGTCAGTAATTTGCAAATTTAAATATGACCAATTATATAATACAGGATTAGAGATAAATTCAAATATCCTACAATATAGGTTTTTAATGCAATTATCTGCATGCAACTTAATTCTTGCCATAGATTTAATTCCTTTCACCCCAAGAATATAAAATTCTTTGAAAAGCTTGGGAAAGAACACAGTAATATGAAAAATAATTGAATATTTTTCTGAAATATCTCTGGAAAAAGTAGCTAAAATGATAAGCCTCACAAACATGGAATAAAACTTGTCATTGAGTGAATATTATTTGGAAGGCAACAATGGTAAGCATTTTATATTACCTCATTGCACATTATGAAACAAGTATTATCATCCCAACTCTACATAGGTGAATATACTGATGCATATGGTTGAGTTACTTGTTCTAGATCTCATAGTGGTAAATAAAGGTAGAAATTTAATTCAGTTTTATTTCTATTCAAAAGTAGTGCCTTTATTAATCACACTAGTGCTTCCCAACTTCAGTTATATCAGGTGCACACTGAAAATGATAAACTGGGAGTGGTGGTACATGCCAACAATCTCAACTATCAGTGAGGTCGAGGCCACCCTGGGCAATTTAGTAGGACCCTGTCTCAAAATAAAAAAAATGTTTAAAGACAGGACCCTGTCTCAAAATAAGAAATGTTTAAATGCTGGGGATATAGCTCAGTGGTTCAATCCCCAATGTCAAGGGGGAAGAAGAGAAGGAGTACTTGTAAGGCTCATTGGAATAAACTGGACAGGTTTGGTGAAAAATATTCTTTGTTATGAAATTATGACTAAAAAAATACAAAGTATTACAATTTATTAAATTGGAATAAATCTTTCTAATAAATATTTTTCAAATTACTAACTTCAGGAAGTTTAGAGAATCACATCAGAATTGTTCAAATATTTCAACTATTATAAAAATAATTTAAAATTACAAAAAAATTGCAAACAGCTCATCTGTATGCCATCTTATCTACTACACACTGATTGGGAAGCTTTTCATAATATAATTTTCTCTTTCAAGAGAAAATTGTGATTAAACACTAATTTGGCATATCCGAGATCTTTTCAATTAGAAAGAAATTCAAACCAAAAGTAATCAAGGAAGAATTACAATACTCAAGTCTTAGCTAATTTAGCCCATACTAGCATCTTAATTAAATTTCTGTGTTACCTATAGTCTGTAACATACACTTTAATTTCATAACAGTAACAGGTAATATTCACTGAGGTAGTACTATATGCCTGGCTGTGTTCTGCCTCACATTGTTTTCATGTTTAATCCATACAGCGACACCATGAAGATTCTCTATTTTCTCCATTTTAAAGAACCTGAGGCAGAATGAAATTAAGTAAATAACTTTTCCAAGTTTATATCTAGCAAATGGGAATTAAGATTGGAAACCCATGTTATCCATCATTATTCAAAACTACATCCGTGGGCTGGGGTTGTGGCTCAGCGGTAGAGCTCTCATCTAGTATGTGCAGTGCAAGGTCCTGGGTTCCATCCTCAGCACCACATAAAAGTAAATAAATAAATAAAATAAGGATATTGTGTTCAACTACAACTAAAAAATAAATATTAAAAAAAACTATATCCCAGTAAGAAAGAAAATCTATTGTGAGCCAGAAGAGACAAGGATAAGTAGATAGATTCAACTTAAACTAAGTTAGATACTTTCATAGTATTGAAGTAAAAATAAAAAAGGTTTGCATGCACATCAAAGGAGATATTCTACAGAAAAAAAAAAACCTTGGATACTATGTTGGTGTACTATGCTTATAGAAATAGCATGAAAGATAATTTTAACTTAAAGATATGTATTATGATATGGCTCAAGTGAGAGCAGCTGTTTTTACAACCTATTTGAATTTATTGATTTAACTTACTCAAGAATACTGTATAAAAATCACACTTGAAAAACAATGAAGCTGATAAAAATTAAAAGCAAAGTTTTAGTACTTTGATTTTTACTTATTGCTTTTCAAGTTCTGTAAGTCACCATGTGTTTAATTTTGTTTTTAACTAAATGCACTATTTGTAAAGTCCTGAATAAAAAATTTTCCAGACATTTGGAAAAGATCTGCTTGCCCAAGTTCTGACTGCTACACCATGCCATTAAAAAGCCTCACAGTTTACAATTATATTACAATAGGCTAGTGTCCTGAGGGTCTCTCTTATGGTCAATGTAAATAAATCAAATCACTTACAAAAGATGAGAATATGCCTTTAATTTCATAACCAACTGATCAATAAAGAAAATGCTAATGTCCTGGATATTGTGTTTTATACCAAACTTCTTAGGGGCCCCAAAGACAAATGTCCAACATTAACTTAGTTAAGGAATTTCTACTATGCTCCAAGGAAATGATCATCCACAGAAGATTGCTGTTGTACAAAGACAGTCCAAAACTACAATTCAAATTCATGCCTTCTGGAAGTTCTGGTATTCAAACTGGAAGCTCCTTTCAATGTACAACTTTTCCTCTGTATCCAAAAGAAGCTGTCACTAATATTTCTACAATCTACTAACAACCAAATACATTAACAAAGAGATATGGACGGTATAAAGCCTGTAATCCCAGCAGCTAGACAGGCCGAAGCAAGAGGATGGCAAGTTTAAAGTCACCCTCAGCAAAAGCAAGGCACTAAGCAACTCAGTGAGACACTATCTCTAAACAAAATACAAAATAGGGCTGGGGATGTGGCTCAGTGGTGGAGTGCCCCTGAGCTCAATTCCCAGTACTCAATAAATAAATAAATAAATAAAATAAAGAGACTAGGAGAAGTACTTGGTACAAAATGGAGTACAAAGTGAGTCTTGGGTTATAAAGTTGTATTCTGTCCTTTGGAGCTTTACATTGTGAAAATCTGGCACTTCCCTAAAGTAACTCCTTTTTCTCAAAAAATCAATTTATTTTAAAAAGTAAAGTTTTACTGCTTACAGAAACCATGACTCCTACTTACTCTAACAGACCCCTATAAAATACTAACAATGAAGAAACATGGCTTGATTTATTGATAAGTTAATACCAGAGTACTTCATATGATTTATAAAAGTTTAAAACTAAATCATGCTAAGTAAAATGCTTCTGACTGTACATAAAATCAGTTAAAATAAATATCAGGTAACATGAAGTAGTCCTAAAGGCAGTATTTTTCCTTTAAAGAGAACACAAGAGATAATCAGCTCCCCAGAAGTTTATTAGTCTTACAGTAAATGTCCAATTCCATAATTTATCCTAAAGTAACTCCATTCCACTGCACACCACCCATAGCAACTATTCAGCAATTTCCAATGTGTAATCTATTGTCCACCAAAGAGCCACAAAACTCAAGCCATTCTTTGAATTTCCTTAATTCATACCATCCCCCTCCTTTTACAAAAGGAGATATAAAATCTTGAGAATACGAATGGTACAAAAAAGTAAAAAAAAGCATAGTCTGCCTCTGCACCCAAGCTCCTTTCCTTTATATCTAAGAACTTACCATTTATCTCAATACATAGATACCTTCATGTTTGAACACGTTAATAACAGTTCAAAATACTCTAACAAATGACAAGGTCTTTATGTGACTATTCTGTCCAAGCCTCTCCATTTAAACATTCAAGTCTTGCAGCTTTATTCTGTCATCAAGTATCACCACGCTCAAACTCCCAAACCATTGTACAAACCCAACATATACGCTTCCGCGTCCTCTGAGTTACCAACATGCTCCAACCCAAGGTAAAACCTTCCCTAATAGAGGCTCTTCCTTTACGAGCTTTTCACAAATTCCTAACACAGTCTCAAAACTCCGTATTCCCAAACTCTCTTAAAAGCCATACCAGTCCGGAGTTACACCCTCTCCAGCCTAATTCCTACTACTTCAAACTCCACCCCTCAACACGCCTTCTCGGGCCTCAGCCACCAACTTCAATACCCCGGCACGCCCTCCAGATCCCTTTGGGGTACTTTCCGCCGGTCAGGCTAGACCCTTCTCAGGCTTCGGAAAAGCCAGGCTCTCCCGACCACATTCCAACCCCGCCCCCAGCCCCTCACCGAGTAGTAGCAGCTTCACTTCTTTGGCCGCTTTCTCCCCGTCCTCCCGCAAATTGCGGTCGATCATCTTGCTCCGCTCCACCGCCGCCTTGTCTTCGGCGCTCAACGTGCAGCCCATGGCGGCGGCGGGAGAGGGAACCGGGCCCGGCCTCACTCACACTCTGCTGAAAGTGCTTCTCCGCTGGCTCAGACAGCGCGTCTACTGCTGGGCGGCGGCCCTCTCCGTCAGCTTCACTAGCGATCCGAGAAACCGGATATCCGGCGTTTACGACACTTCCGGCGACGCCCTGCGGCCGTTACCACTTGAACCACTCCCGCTCTAAGAGAGGAGATGAGACCGAAAGCGGAAGGCCCCGGGAGGGCGAGGGTTCCGCGGATCTGTCAGGTTCTGTGAAGCTCGGTGCGCACCTCCTAACCTTAATCCCCCCTTACCTGTTGGGTAAATGTATAAAAACCGGGGTCTCCTTTTCATTTGCTCTTCTGAGGTCTCACAGCGGGTTTGGAGGCTGGGGGTTGGGATTCTCAAATAAGAACCCACAGCCAACATGTCCATTTCTACTGTTAAATTCTCGCTGGGCTTAAAACCCCTTTGGTCTCAGGTTCTGTTCTGGCGGCCCAGAGCACTTGCCCAGGTGTTGGACATTTTTCTGCCTAAGTTGCTTCAGTCTGATCTATCGAGTAAGAACACATTGCCCTGCCTAAGCTCTGGCCATGCCTGATAATATCTGAGATCTGTAACACCAATGCTACTTAAGACAAGCCTTGTCTTCTGGCCCACTGCTTCCTGCTCTTAAAATATATTCTGGTCCTTATGGTACTACTTCTAAGTTGCTGTGGGCTTTACAAAAGGCCAGTTGAAAGGTGTGTAGTTTGTCCAGTCATCCCCACCCGGAAACAAATCAGTGCATCCTCTTAATCTCCTAAAATTTTCTGTTGTGATACCACACAAAAAGGGAAGTTCTGGTAAAAATTGCCTCTCGGCTTTATTGTCACCTGAAAATAAATCTGTGAAAGCCCCATACGAATACCTTTTCACTGATAACCTTAGAAAGTACTGTGGCGCCTGTTCTGAATTAGCTTTACCGATAGACAGCCCCACAGGTACTGTCATGGTGCATTCTAGGGAGAGGGACTTCTTTGCAGCCCCTAAAATCTTTTCCTGTGATTAAAAATCACTTGGGAATAAAGAATCTAAAAGAATACAAAGTCCCAACAGAAAGGTCTATATAATGATGATTCATTAATTAGAAAATTAGAACCACTTTAAACAGCCTCATGCATCATAACTCTTATGCTAATTCTTAAAAGTTTTTAAAGTCCCCAGTTGCTTCTAACTGATGTTAGAATGAAATGAGTTTTTTGTGATACTTTTCCATTATCAACACTTCTGGGGAAAAAGGGCCAGAGGAAAGGGAAGAAAAACCAATGTTTATTGAGTACCTATTTACCAATTATGGCTAGGCGCTTCCATGTCTCATCTCTTAATCCTCACAACAACCCTGTGAGGTAGGTTATTATGATCCCCATTTTTACAGATGAGGAAATAGGCTCAGAGAAATTAAGCAGCTTTCCCAAGTTCAAACAGTGAGTAAGTAGATCTGACTACAAATTAACCCCTTTTCTACATTGCCCCCCTAGAAGATATTGCTCTGGGGACATCATACAACAAAAGGCCTAAGGTTTTCATTTAGTATTGGAAGTCACCTGGATATCACTAGAATGTAAGAAAAAGTAATTGACAGACTGGTTTCCTCAGCCTGCTGATTCTTCAGTGTATTAGGGAGGTCAGGTTTTACCCAGGAACAGCTTTCAGAGCTAAGAATTACACACTGAACTTTACCAAGCCATCCTGGTGACTAGAAAACTCCTGGAAGTTGGTCATAGCAGAAAATGTTGGGAAGTTCTCATCATAATAAAAGAAACTCTTTAATTTCCTTCATGATCCATTCCTACAGGGAAAAACAAATTGCAAATGAATCTATTTATGTCAAACTCTGTAGTAAATGTCAGTGAGTTCACAGTGTCAGGTAATTCCAGTCTAAATTAGAGAGATCCTTGCACTTAAAACTTTTCTTCTTTGATGTTTGTGAAGGAAGGGTTGGAGGACAATGTCAAAAGAAAAGCCAAAATAAATTTACAAAATGGCTGCCAAGCAATATTTAATGCCTTCCCTTTTCTCCCTCCCCCCCTCATATGCCTTTCCTATTTCCACCAGAATCACACTGCCATCTGCTGGCAATACCTCAGATCTACTAGATGATTAGTGATTGAAAAGTTTTTACCCTGTCTAGAAAGGAGATTCCTCCTATGACTTTATCTTAAAAGGAAATAGAGGTAAACAGATTTTGAATCACAAAGGACACTCCTTTGCTATATATACATTTTTTTCCTAAGGGATTTCTTCAGTGTAATAGGCACTGTACTAGAATGATAGTCTAGTGGTAGGAAGACAGAAACCTACAAATTTTTCTAGTTCAAAAGGGGAAAATCTATGTTTGCCCAGTTTCATTTCATTTACAACTCCCACACTTTCCACAATCTGCAGGAAACCTCTATGTACTACTGCAATGAACTCTCAGAAATTAGAACTGTGGATATAGTCTAACATATTTCTCAAGCATATTTTAGAAATATTTTATAATGCTTTATTAGATTCAAATACTCTATAAAGATACAAAGTATCTGATTATTAGCTCCTTGAAGGCAGGGGCCCACACATTCTTTGTGTGGGTCCCAGGACATAATGGGTGTTAAAACTATTATGTACTGAATTGAACTGAAGGAGTCAATGTTGGTATCAGTATAATTTTTATCATAAAATTATTTATTGGCTGTTCAAAGGGGAGACAGCCCCACTCCCACCAAGCCATTTTCTCCCTGTGATGCTCAGAACAAGAATTTGTTCAAATATAGACCACACCACCCTTGGGCCCTGCCATGACCCTTTAGTGTTACCTGATTCAACTGAGGGAAGTGAGACAGGTGGACCCAGATTCCTGTCCAGTTTGCAATTATTCCCTTTCTGTTGCAAATACCATCACCAAAGCCAATCAACACAGTTCCTAGAGTCTCAATCAGTAAATAACTCAGCCCAACTCATGTGCCCTCTCTCCAACCCAGGGCTGCAAATAGGAAAGAGATTTAAGTCTTTGTTACTGAAGCTAATTTTGAGAGCGATGAATGAGAGTAGGGAAGCATTTAATGGACCATGGAAACCCCACCCTTCCCATGCCCAACCTTAGTCTCTTGTACCCGATTGTCCAGGGGGCTGGAGGTGGGTCACTGCCATGAGGAGAGAGATCAGGGAGGCCAGTCCTGGAAAGAGAAGATTTGCAATATTATTGATCAGGGTAATTTACTTGATCTGTCTGTATCCAGCCACTTTACTAATTAAAATGCTAACCCCCACTCTCAACTATCCAAACTTTAATCATTCTAGTTATTCATCTGAAAAGATAGGGAGAAAAAGCCTGTCTTATTATCTCTGCTGAGATCAGTTCCCATGCTTGATCTTCTACATGCAAGAGAAAGGCAGAAAAATCAGAAGGCTTTTCCTGAAGAATGGGAGAAAGAGAGCTGCAGTCACCTTTCCTGTCTTCTATTCCATGTACCCTAATTGCTGTTTCCCCTTGTTCCTGCCTAAACTCTGTGGGGAAAGTACCCTGTTTTTCCTCTTGTGTTAAGGAAACTTCAAGTATAAAACTAAAAAATCATCTATTAACTCATGACCCTTGATTGAAGTTTCAGTCTTTTTAAACCTAATAGGGAATGAGACACAGGTTATTTTCTTACCTTTGCTTGGGTGAAATTACTGCCTCGGACAATTACATTGAAAGGCAAAATATCCTCAGTGGTCCCCAGAATAACTCCCAACCTTCCCTGCTACCCTGATCCTCCAGCTCCTACACCTATAGAGTTTCCCTGTTTCCTGAGGCATGGAAAGTTCACTGGTTGAGAAGCTTCACCTCACCTTTGTGACCCTTTTCTCTCGTCATTGTCTCACCATACCCAGGTTCCCTCCCCCAGTAGTCAAAGATCACAGCCAAGTCCATGACTTTTGCCACATATCCCTCTTGTTGGCTCTGGTTTCGACCCAGGAAACACTAAGCAAAAACTATGTGGAGACCCCAGTCGCAGCCCAGCTGGGAAAAAGGTGGTCCCACAAGGCGGTCTTTGCAATCACAACTGGCCTCCAGCCCCATCTCCCTCCAAGTGTCCAGTGTCCCATCATGACTCCAGCCGGGGTGAGGGGGCAGGGTGGAGGTAGTTGTCCGACATGATGATGTCACTAGTGAGTTGCTGCTCCAGAAACTCAGAGGTCTCCTCAGCTATCTGGCCTGGGATTCGGAAGTCAACAGCAGGTGGGTCCTGCTTAGGGCTGGGTGGGGGCCGGGAAACCCAGTTCTCAGAGGGACAGCCTGTCCCCTGAAGGAACTGCAGGAAGTTCTCCTCAATGGAGCCCTCCCGGCTAGGCAGCCTCAGCTCCTCCTCTGGAGCTGGCTTGAAGAAGCAGACAAACTGCTTGCTGAGCTCCCCCCGGATCTGCCGGTTGAGACACCCATAGAAGAAAGGGTTGGAAGTGAAGCAAAAGTAGCCAATCCAGGTCACCACACTCTCCACCTGCCCGGTTGAAATAGGCTGAGCACTCAGGGCAACGTAGAGGTGGAAAGAGAAGTAGGGCAACCAACAGAGCAGGAACTGACCCCCCACAGCCAGGAGGACCACCGCTGCTTTCCCTCCCCCAAACGTCCGGTGTGGAGTGGTCTGGGGTGCCCCCGAGCTGGTGACCATAGTGGAGCGGCTACTGAGAGACTCGGAGCGTTGCCGGGGTGTCTCCATCCACGTGGGCAGTGGCCCATGCTGCATCGCAGCCACACGAGCCACTCGGAACATGCTGCAGTAGACCACAAGGATGAGGAGCAGGGGCAACAAGAAGTAAAGGACAGCAAAGACCACCACAAAAAGCTGGCAGTAGGCACTGTGGCTCCATTGGAGTGAACAGCCTGGGGGTACATTGGGACCTCCTTCTTCCCAGGAGACTCTTCCCAACACTGGCACAGAAGCCATGGCCAGGGCCTTCACCCATACACCCACCAACACTGAGGCCACAAGCCCCAGTGTCATGCGCACCTCATAGCGCATGGGGTGGACCACATAATAGTAGCGCTCCACATTGATGGCGGACACAGAGAGGATTGCCAGGCTGACAAAGCATACACTCAGGAACAAATAGAGGCGGCAGGCCACCTCCCCGAAGAGGGCATGGTCAAAGAGGGCAGAGCTGGAGAGCATGGCCAGGGGCATGAGGGTCAGGGCAGCCAACAGGTCCACCAGGCAGAGGTGGAAGACAAATACAAATTTTCGGAGGGCAGGTGTCTTGGCGATAACGGCCATCACGGCAGCATTGCCAGCCACAGCAGTCAGGTCCAGCAGGAGCATGAAGAAGAGGGCCACAGATTCTGAAGCTACATCTCTCAGTCCCACCTCTGGGACCCCACTGGCAGTAGAGGGACCTGGAGTTTGAGGGATCCTCCCCAAAGTGGAAGAGTTCCCCGATGACTGAGGGATGGGCGAGGACTCCATGGGGCCGAAAGAGGACACCCAGGGCACCTCCTGTCACAGGCCCATCCCCCATTCTAGTTCACAACCCTGGGATGGTGAGCCCAGACTCAGGCTTTCCAATATTGTAAGTGGAGCTCCTGCTGGAGCCTCTTATCACCAGCCTTCAAAGTTGGATTGCTCTGTGGCCAGAGCACCAGGCCAGGCAGCTGCAGTCTTAGGAATTCCTATCCCTGTTCTGGCAGGAGGTGGCTCCCAGGTTGGCCTTGACAACTGGGAAGATGCAGGAGACATGAGAGAGATGAAGCCTTGACCACTCAATAGCACTCCCCCTCCTGAGTGACCTCTGGCTCTTCCTTTTCCACTTTCCTTCCTCCATTCTCCATACCCTTCTCCCCCTTCAAGAGCTGTTATCCAGAGATTCTGAATCCTCTGTCTGCCTTTCCCAGGTCCTGCTGAGTTCTGGAACAGTGCGCAGTTTTAGGGCTGCTTATGTGAATTTCCCGATTTCTGATCTCCAAATAGGGAGTAGAAGGAGCATAAGGTTAGGCTTCCGGTTCCAGGTCTGGGCATTACTAACTCTGCAACTCTTCTGGACTCGTTTCCTCATAAAGGTATCTGTAAAATGAAGGGAATAGTACCTACTTCACAACTGTGTTTACAGGCCCAGCAAGATTCATTAACCACAGTTCTAATCACAGGCTTCCCACATGTCCAACCCTGTTCTAAGCTCTCGATGAATATTAACTCACTTTAGTCCTCATACAACCTTATAAAACAAATAGTATTCCTGTCTCCATTTTTCCAGGAATAAACCTGAGGCTAAAGATGTTAAGGCATTTACCCAAGTTCACACAGCTAGTAAATGTCCAGGTCTAGGTACCTACCTGGTCAGTCTGGTACCCTGATGTGCATGAAGGTGCCCTTTACACCAACTGAAATACAGTAGGATTCTAGTGATTGTTGAATATGAACTATCTCTAAAAAATGTCTCTCACTGCTATAGGGCTGTCACCTGAAAAAGAGAACTGTGCTTTTGTCTCTTCTGACATCACCACTCCCAAGACAAAGAGCTATCACTTTGGGAATGTTGAAAAGAAACAGTGAAAATAGAATGTCCCAGCTGGAAGGAAACTGGTTCACTTGAAAGCTGCCCTTCTCTACCTACTCTAGCTTCTCAAGGCCACTGTGCCACTGTGGATGGAAGAAGAACTGCTTCTCACTTTCCCAGCTTCCCATATCTTGTCATTGGACTGACCCTCTGAGGATCCCTGGCCCAAGGGTTTCTTGGTTCTGGACTGTCACCAGGGTCACAGAACAAGGACTAGGAATAGGTACTGGAGTAGGCATGAGGTGAAGATGCCCAGATAGCAGCATGATCATGAAGTGGTGAGCATAAAGCAGACATGGAGACTGGAAGAAACCAGCATCTCTCATTTCTCCTTATCAAATGTCAATATCACATCTGTTTTATGTGTGTCATTATCCATCTTGAGTTTTCATATAATTGAAATGGGTTGCCCAATGTAATTAAATTTTTTTTCATTTACACATATCATTCTTGCAGTGCAGATTCCCTCAATATAGTATGATGACTTATGCAACCTAGAGGCAACAATCAGATGGTCTTTTTGTAGACCAGTTAAAAATTTCCTGGGCCAGTTTCCTCATATGTGAAATGGGAGGCTGGGACTAGATGACCTCCAAAATCCTACACATGATAACATTTGATTACTCTGTGAGTTCCCTGATACAGAGGGCCTGGTGGTTGCTAAGTTTTAAACTTACCATCTCCATGACTTATATGAAGAAGATAATGTGGCCTCCAGGGCCCACTCTTCTCCAGTTATCATCTTAAAATAATCATGGGTTTTGGTGTTACCATGACTCTCACACTAATCCAATTTCTAACATACTGTGCAATAGGTGCTCAATGTAATTTTGTGAACTGAATCAGACTCAAATTGACTCAAAGTGAATCCCTACCTCCTAGTACAAACTCCAAGAATATTCTGTCAGTCATCTGTGTGCCAGCCAGGGGACTCTTTTTTGGAAAGGATAACCCAGGCTCTTGGATTCAAGACTGCCCTAACTTTGGACATCTGCCTAGAGACATGCCTCTCTCCAGAGATAGCAGAAAGCTCATTTCACAGTTGAGAAGGCCACATAGACTCAGGGTCTGCAGAGAACATGAAGAGAGGGCAGAAAAGTGGAGATGTCAGCTTCTGTTAAGATGGTCTACCAGGAAAAACACCAGAAATACTAGAGGAAGCATCCTTGCCTCTTATGCCACAATTTACCCATCTCTTCTACCTATGAGGGGCCCAGAAGACATGACTCCGAGTCCATGGTAACTAATAATAGAAAGATCCACCATGGGTGGATTGCATGCAAGAGTCTAATCTAGCAAGGCTCAGCCAGGGTCCCAGAATGAGAGAGGCAGACATGGTTTCCATGTGGACGTGGAGGGGTGCATAGAGCCATGATGGAGCCCTAGGTAACAAGCATTGGACATTTCTCAGAGTCCCTTCAGTCTTACTAGTATTTCCACAATGACTCCCAAACTCCAGGAATCCTATTTAACTCCTAAGAGACAGACCAATATACCTGGCAACTGGGTACTCCCTCTGACCATCTGCCTTATAGAGGGCCGGGCCTTGGTGTAATCTTTTATAGGGGTAGTCCAGGGAGCCTTGCTCCACTTCCAGTTCATGTCATCATGCCTTCTACCCCAACAGATGCTTTCATCCTCCCACTGCTTCCTTCCAACATCACCCACCTCACCTCCAGGACCTCTTAGTTCCTGGAAGATTTGGCCACCATAGGGACTGAGGTCTGGCCTGTAGCAGGGGCATAGTCAAGTAACAAATACCCTTGTTTCAGGATGCAGGATGCACACAAGTGCCCAGCCCAAGGCCACAGAAGTGCTGTTGAGATTCATATGTACCTGTTTCTCAGATACAGAGCTTCCTTCCCAAGGATCGGAGCCCAGTCTTCCTTCAGGCAAGCTCATACCCCTCCTGAGCCAAGGGGAGATTTCTAGGAAGCTTCAACACCTCTCCCAAGCAGAGTTGCCCACACCCAGGGCACAGTTTCCCATCAGCCTAGATGCCAAAGAACCAATTCCTAAGATGTGGGGAGCCCATCTCTATGACATGGAACAAGACAGATGGAGAATGCTGTCTGTTGTAGAATGTGGCTACTCCCACCAGCAGGAGATCATCAAACCCCCATCTCTAGGCTCCAGAGGTGCCGACACCCTATTATCGCCTTTGGGATACCTGGGAGCCCATCCCCTAACAAAACTGCCCACCATAGGGTAAGATGAGCTAGTCCTTTGAATGCTACCCTTCCGTAGGGTGCTGTAGCACTCACCACCAGGCCCTGAGTCTGGCCCATTCCTGGCCTAGTCGGCAACTCCTACCTTTGCTGAGCAGCTCCCGGCTCCCATGTGATAGCTCCTCTCAGCTGATGCTTCTCCAAGGCTGCTGAAGCCTGAACCACTGCAGTGAGCGTGAGAGGCAGCCGGCAGAGCAGGATGCTCGAAATGCTTCTGGGTCCTAATGGCCTCCTGCTTCCCACCCAGCCCCTTAGAGCCACTTCTGAAGCAAACAGCTGGGCATCAGTGCCCCAGGTGAAGTGCTCTGGAGTGAGCCCAGTGCTTCTCACTTCTCTCAGGTTGCTGGACTGCTTCTTAAAAGTTTCATGGGACCAGGTGATGACAGGCAGGAGAGACCTTCCTGAAGTAAAGAGAGCATTTGGAGTCAAGAAATTCAGATTCAAGGCCTGGCTAAGGCACTCACTGGCTGTATGACCTTAGGCAAATCATTTCCAGTTTTGGACTTTGTTTGTTATCTGTTCAAAGGGATTATAGGATAGATGATCCCTGAGGTTCCTGACAGCCTTGTCATCTCATGGTTCTGTATGACATCGGGACCAATGTGCTTTTTAGCAGGTAGGTCAGTGCATGCATAGGACTCCAAGGTTAGGACGGGGAAGGGGAGGCTCCAGGGAATGGCCCAAAGTTTAATTCCTTTGGAACATGCCAAGTGTATACAGTAGACAGATTGAAGGGTAGCAGTCAGGTTTAAAGGGGAGCTGAAGGTTTTGTGTTAACCCTACATTTTCCCCCTCACACATACCTGAAAAAAGCACATTATTATGTTCCTAGATTTTATGCTTATTTGGAGTGGAGCTGTAAGATTGGTGGAGATAGGGGATCTAACATTTCTCTGAGAATGCACCTTAACCACACTGCTCTCTAGAGGCAGAGTGGGAGCCAGGTATTCAGAAAGGATCAGATTGGTCTAGATTTATAGGCTTGGAGGAACATCATCCATGGAGAGTCACTATCCATGTGATGGACTTTAGAGATGATCTAGGGACATGACCTCCCACTAACTATGAAGAAAACTACAGCTTCTCAGGTACATGACTGATAGCAAGGGTCAGATTCTGACACAGCAAGAGCTGTCAGGCATTCTACAAACCAAAGCATCCACATTCCTGAGATAAAGAGACTGCTCAAAATCACACAGTTCCACCTGGCAGAGCCATAAGCCTATGCAGAAAATTCAGACATGCTACTGACTCCAGAACCTCGTAACCTTATGCTTGCCAACCAGGAACTCCTTCTGTCTCTAAAAAGGAAGAACATGAATTCTAGAACTATTTACTAAACTCAACTCAAGTCATAAGAATAGCGAACTACCCAGCAAATTCAGAAGGGAAGGGTGGCTGCCCAGGCCCCTGATCAACAATGAAGAGGCCACTGGCCAGCTCAGAGCTCACAGAACCATTTTCTGCTATCCTTAGTTACCATTTCTTGAGCTATTATGAAAGTCCTTTAAAGTACAGCATTTTCAACCCCCATACTCATATATTGTTTTATAGGTACCAGAGGTGAGGTGACTTTCCACAAATATGGCCAGAGTCAATATTCAAACTCAGGTCTGTTTGAAATCAAAGTGTTTGTTCCCTCCCCATAACCTCCATGGAGTTCTGACATGACACATTAGGTAGGACCTCAGGCTGGCGTGGCCCTCTTCCAAGAGGGTTCAGGGAGAATCTGAGCAAACAAGGCTCTTTGGAATGGGGTTATAGAAAAAGCACTGGACTGTGGTCAGAAAACTTTGTTTTAGTTTGTCTCTGCTCTACTGGTTGGTTGGAAAACCTGCGAGTTGGTAGCTGTGCATTAGTTTTCCTACCTATAAGATGGGCAAAATTTGTCACTCCCCAGCTTATCTAGTAGGGTGATAGGGTTCCCCACCCTATCACGGCTGCTGCTCAGGGTTGGTGGAGCTAATATGGTAGCCATGGCTGGCCAAACAGATGGTGTAGTGGCCAACAGCCAAGGTCATGAGGCCTCTCCCAGAGAGCTATTGAGGAAGGTGGTACCAAGGAGGTGGTGGGTCCCAGAGCTCCTCCTGGATGTCGGAAACCATCTTGGTTCAGAGGAGAGAGAGAGTGAGACAAAGAGAGGTGGGTAGGCATGGAGAGAACTGCCTGGCCAAGCCTCAGTGGCCACTGATACTACTACTAATAACAATGATGATGATGATAGTGCTAGTTGTTGTTGTTGTCTTTCTTTCTTGCTTGCTTGCTTTTTTTATACTGGGGATTGAACTGAGATACATCCTCAGCCCTTTTTTTTTTTTTTTTTATTTTGAGACAAGGTCTTGCTAAATTGCAAAGGCTAGCCTTAAACTTGTGATCCTCCTGCTTCAGCCTCCTGAGTCCCTGGGGTTACAGGCATGCAGGTTAATGCTACTTCCTGAGGGCCCAGTCTGGGGAGGTACTTCTTATGCTATACATCACTAGATTATCTCAATCAGGGTTTGGAGTAGCTGTTGACATCACATCACCCAACCACCACAACCAGGCGAATCCCTCCTTTTAGAGCTTAGCACAATGAAGGGAATGAGAAAACCATGATAGAAAAACTGGGTAAGGTCCCTCAAACCATGTCAGAGATCCATGGTCCACCACATACGCCCAGGTTCCCTGGTATAGGATGAAGACCAGGACCCCTTCTCCCAGTGTCATGGGAAGCCCTTGGTGCTGAGGACTGGTCTGTCCATCCTAGGCTTGCTTCTTGAAACAACTCTATCCCACCCTTGCCTACAAGCCCCTCTTGACAGTGTTCTGTTCACTCCACCCACCCTTTCCTGCCAACATGAGATACTGCAACTGACCAAGTTTACCTTTCATCCATGTATCCATTTATTAAATATTGAATGTTTTCTATGAGCCCATAACTCCTTCCCTGTAGCCCCTCTGCTTAGAGGTAACCACTGTCTTCCCTCTGTGTTCTCTCTGCCTTCTGTCAAAACCTGCTCTGAGGAAAGAGGTTGATAAATCCATTGGTAATGATAGCAGTTTAATGTGTTCTCTCTCCCAGGAATATTAACAATTTATCAAGAAACAAAGGGAAGAAGCAAGATGTTGGGATTCCAGTAGCAACCAGGGAAGCCCCTGAGATCCCAAAATACAAAGCACTCCCCAGTCTGGCCTCATCCCCAGGAGGCAAGCATTGTGTCCCCTCAGCACCCACTTCCATCCATGTGGACAGCCAACTCTCCCACCCAGGAAGTAGGCTCACAGCTGGGGCCTCTCCACTACAGCTCGGCACCACGGGGCCTGCTCCTCAGGCACCCACCTTCCCCTGTCCTCATCTGGGGGCCAGGCTGAGGCACTGGGGGGGTGCAGGAAGACTGAGGTGAGAGCCTTTCCGTTCTCTTTATTCCCCCACAGTCTGGCCCACACCCCCTGCCAGGAGCAGAGATCCAACAGTATATTCAGCCGGCAGCTGCCACTGGTCATGTGAGCCCATTGCTAGGTTACAGGGACCCAAAAATAAATCCTTCCCAACCAGATTAGAAACTGGGGGCCTCGGATGAACCAGGCTCAAAAGAGTGGCAGGAACATCCACAGTGCACATGTGCAGACCAGGCCATGCTGCCCACCTCCTAACCATTAGCCAGGCCTCAACCATGGACCCCTAAAGGAAAGTTCCAAACAGTTCCTGGGCCCTTAGCAACACCATAAATAGGCCTACAGGTTGAGTGGCCACCCTCATTGGCTATCAGGGGCAGCTTGAGCAAGACCACTGAACCTTCTCCTCATTAACCTGTTCCTCCATATGCTCTACCCCATGCCCCCACAAAGCTTCCAGGTTCCTACCCCCTCTTTTGGGGCTGGGGAAATAGCTCAGTTGGTAGAGTGCTATCTCACAAGCACAAGGCCCTAGGTTCAATCCTCAGCACACACAAAACAAAACAAAAACAAAAAAACCCTACCTCCTCTTTTTGTAAGTTTTCACAGACCTGTCTCAGGGTAACCTGGGGTCCCTTCCAATACTTAGTTTCCTTCCTCAAGCCACCCCATCTCCAAGGCCCTGTAGTTTCCCATGCTCTTCAGCAATATGCTTCTCCTCCCTGGTGTGATTCTGAAGGGGTTCAGGCTCCCTGTCACCTCTCTGTGCAAAGTCCCCGCCTCCCTGTTCTGCTCACACTCATATAGTTTACTGAAACCTAGGGGCACCCACCCACTCCTTCTGCTCCCAGCAGTCCTAACTACAGGCTATATTTTGCTCAAGTCCAGAAATATTTATCAATTTTCTGCTACATGCAAAGCTCTGTAGAAGGAGTGAGGGAAAGAGAGACAGAGATTAAATGAATACAAACCTTTCCCTCTTGGTGCTTACAATGTACGATGGGTCAAAGCAGGTTATAAGTTTCAAGGGATAATCATATTGCTGGAGAGATTCAAAGGAAAAAATGAAACTGCTCCTTCAGGAAGTCTAGGAAGTCTTCATGAGGGGGGTCTTAAAAGAAGGCTAAGATTTTATTTTGTTAATTATTATTAATATGTATTTTTAATGGCACATAGTAACCGTACATATTTATGGGGTAATGTATGGTATTTCGATACATGTATGGTGTGTAATGATCAGTTTGGGGTAATTGGCCTATCATCTCAGATTTTTATCATTTCTTTATGTTGGGAACATTCAAAATCCCCTCTATTAACTATTTTGAACCATTCAACTAATTGTTGTCAACCACAGTCATCCTCCTTGCTATATATAGAACATTAGAAATTCCTCGTTGGTATGGGATATTAACTGGGAGCAGTAGGTGGAGGCTAAGAAGGGGAGTATCCCAGATCATGGAGAATGCTAAGTTTAAGAAATATCAGGCACTATGAGTTGTCCAGTTTGACTGAAAAATAATCTGTGCATAAGAGAGAAGTTTTCTCACAGAAAGGTGAGAAAACTTTTTTGTGGGACTGTTGGAAGACCTTGCAAGCTAGCCTGGGAAGTCAGCATGGCAAAATGTTTAGAGCAGAGAGTCACAGTGCCACAGATGTGTCCATCTCCTGTGTTTTTGTAAGTCAGTTGTTCTGTGTTTACTGAAGCCACAAGTTCCAGAGCAAGGAACTGAACTAGAGACTGGGAATTTTCCTTGTTGTTCAAGCCCAGAGGAAGAGCACAAAAGTTTATAAGTCATGAAGGAGCTAAGGCATGTGAAAGTATGGCAGAGTGAACTCAGAGGGAAGGGCA